AGCAACAGCAACAGCAACAGCAACGGACAGAGACAATAAAAACAACAGGAAGAACCAGGAGTGCTACTGACTATCTCTTTTGGTGAATTGAATACCCAAACGCGACTGACAATTGGAATTACAACACATTCCACAGATTGCCACCAAAGACGAAAAGAAGAACAAAAAACGAGAAGCATTGCGAAACAACACAATCATGAGTAATAATGACGAATTGATCTCTCAATTTTTGGCCTTTACAGGCAGTTCCGATACGGCGAAAGCCAGCAGTTACTTGGAAATGAGTGCTGGCAATGTCGAAACGGCCGTTGGTTTATTTTTGGAGCATGAAGGAGGCGGCGGCAGTGGAGCCGCTGGTGGAGCTGCTGCTGGCGGCACGGGTGGAGGCATGCCAGATGTCCGTGCTCCCGACGCTACTCGAACCATGCGGCTCATGGACGACGGCCCAATGTTTGGCGGAGGCAGCATGATGATGGGTGGAGGAGGGGCGAATCAGGCCATGATGGGCATGATGGAACACATGTTGGAAGACTCGCTTAGGTATTCGGCCTTTGCGGATGACCGCGACAATATTCGCGATACCGTCAATGCTTCTGCTACTTCTTCCAACTCGAGACGCCGGCGGCGCAATACGAACAACAGCGACGAAAACATGGCCATTGATGTTGATGCCGACGAGAATAACCAAGACGACAACAACAACAACAACAACAACACTAACAACAGTAATAGCAACATGGACGATGGAGACGACGATGACATGGAGGAATATGACTACGATGATGATGATGACGACGAGGACGGCGATGATGATGGTGGTGCTGCGCAATCGCAAGTGGCCCGTCTTGCCGATATTTTTGCCGCTCCCGATCATCTCATGTTCAAGGAAGGTGGCTTTGAAGGGGCTCGGACCATGGCCAAAGACAATAAACGATGGTTATTAGTCAATATTCAACGCGACAATGAATTCTCATCGCACGCATTGAATCGGGATGTCTGGAGAGACGAGTTGGTGGAGAATTTGATTCGAGAAGGCTTTATTTTTTGGCAGACTGTGAGTTGGAAACATGCACTCGTGTATTGATTGATTGATTGATTGATTGATTGATTTGGAACCTTGGAACCTTGGAACCTTGGAACGCAACAGATGAAGAATGAAAACTGTCTATTTACTCCACTGGACTTGGTTCTCACTTCGTTCTTGCCCACCTTTTCTATCATGTAGATGGATGTTTCTCCGGAAGGAAAGACCTATATTCAACGCTACAAGGTTGGCGATTTCCCACACGTTGCCTTTATTGATCCTCGTACTAGACGGTTGCTATGGAGAAAGGAGGGGTGGACCCAAGAGAATCCACTCACGGCGGAAAGCTTTGCGGAATATGCCATGGACTTTTGTTCCAAGTATACCTTTGATAAGCCACCCGTGGCGCCGCGTCCTGGGGCAGCAAGAGCACCGCCCAAGAAAAAGGCCATGAACGAGATGTCGGAAGCTGAACAACTACAAGCAGCCATGCGAGCCAGTCTTGAAGATATTAGTCCGGCTTCCGAAGGCAAGATGGAGGATGGTGATGATGATGACGAACAAGAGGTTCAAGTATTGGAACCAGACGAGAATGGAAAACCAAGGGCAGTCGAATCGAAGGAAGAAGCCAAACCATCACTATTGGACGAACTCTTGGCCATGACCTTGGGCGAAGAACCGGCAAAGGGTGCCCGTGTCATGATTCGAACGCCGGATGGCAAGCGCAATGTTCGCAAGTTTGATGCATCTCAAACGGTCAAAACAATATATGCCCACTTTGTTCAGTCCAGTGACGAGGCCAAGGGTGGAAAGGAATTTATTCTGCAAGAGTCTGGCTTTCCACCGAAGGATCTGTTGCCTGATATTGATCAAACAATAGCATCCCGCAACTTGTCAGGGGCTGCCTTGACTTTGAGATGGAAGGACTAAAGTTGCCACTATCGATCTACCGTACTCGATTACTAGAGAAAAAAGGAGTACAAAGCATATAATTATCATAATAGCCATTGGTTCTACCCATCGATTAATGACTCTGGCAAGATTTCGAAGCTTGACAACTAGCTAGATAGAAAGGAAAAACGAATCGATGTTGTGGAGAAAAAGTAATTGGCACTCTATCGTTTGATATCATCTAGCAGCTTTGGTGGAATCAATGATGACTGCTGGCAGGTGGTGGTCCCAAAAGCCCTTGCGACTTGGCAAAGTATTCAGCGCCAGCATATAGTCCATAAATGACAACAGCGTTTCGGAATCCAGGAAAGGGAGACTTCCACAGTCCTTGAAAGATGGGAAGAGTTCTCCATGCATCTTGGCCCTTGAAAATCATTATAAGATATCTGAAGCGTTTAATGAGTGTGTAGCGTATTGTATAGAGGGTAGCAAATGGAAAGGAACGGAATGAACAAGAGAGAGAGAGAGAGCGAGAGAAAGAGGCAAGAGTCAGACCAACGTCTTAAGAATAACAACCTGAAGGCAATTCAAAATGCAATCGGAACCGTGTTCCTCAAGCTTTTCCCCCAGAGACAATCTTCTCGTAAACATCATCGTTTGTGGAGCTGATTCTTCTGATGCACCAAGCACCACCACCGTTAACTCACTTTTGCTTTTCCAACGACAGTCGAATGAACGCAACAAGAACGACGTTGTTGCTGCAATCGACGGAAAAAAACACGGATGACGTACAGTCAGAAAAGTTACTCGGTTTAGTCGATGAAGCGAAAAGTCCCAACCGCAACCCGCAAACCCATCCATTCACAGCGCTTGGCAAACGCAGAGAGTACTGGTACGGTACTGTATCCACTTTGCTGTCTCAGTCTTGCTATCCAAAGTTTCTATTTCTTATCCACACGAGAATATCTTTCCTTTTACAGTCAAAGTCACAGGCAAACTTGAATTGGATTCCATCGGATAAGTTGGCAATGAGATGACAATTACCAAAAGCAACTATGAGACGATAATCGAAATGGAAGAGTTTCATCCACTCTTTGGAGATTCAAACGGAGGGATTCAAACGCGACAGTTTGATGCAACTCAACAGTTGTCATTACCTACTGTGACATTATCAGCCGCTAGCCGTCGCAAACCCGAACCGAAGCGATGTCACATGGCACGCAGCTTGAAGATATTCGTCTGTCTATTTCCACTTTACTTTTACCGTCAAATAAATGACGTTTCTGTTTCCACGGATATGTTTTCTTCTCCTATCGTAAGAAACGATTACACTTCGGTCCGCAGCATTCACGACTTGGACAGCCAGCGAGTTGCTCAATGGTGCAATCGCCGAGTCTACGAGTGCCCGTGCCAAGATCCTTTGGTGGCCAATCCTCGCGATTCCGAGACAGCATGGCAAACCAAGCATGCAAAAAATGTACAAGTCTTGACGGATTCCATGTCGGGAAGCAAAAATGGAACGGGATATCCTGATGTAGTATTTTATGGGGATGGTCTAGTGGCGGGTTGGAATAAGTATCCAGCCGTCTTTGATTCTTTTTTCAAAGTGACCAAGGGTGGGAAGTTCAATGCGATTGCACTGGGAATTGCAGACGATCGGGTGAGTACCGGTAGTATACGAGTACAGGACAAGGAAAATTATGCTAAAGAGAAAGGAGCGGCATGAGTTCTAGCCAAGAATTTTTTCCTGTGAGTACCAAACGATGATACATCCCCTCTAACCCTATTGTTTTCGTTTCACAACTCTACCCTTCAGTCCCCCAACTTGTTGTGGCGCTTGCAGAATGGCGAAATGCCAGATGACTATACAGAATTCTCCACTGAACCAGCGGTAATGTGGTTGATGATTGGGTCCCAAGATTTGGGATTGACGTCATGTGCCCCAGAATTGGTCATTATTGGCATTTTGCGGATTGTTGAAGAATTGCTCATTAGAACAACGACCGCCAATGTTGTGATCAATGGGATTTTGCCGCGGACTTTTAATCGGGATGGATTCGTCAACAAGGGTGGATTGTTGAATCCTTCCACTATTGGAATCCCAACCGGAATAGGCACTACTGCTGGATCTAACGAGAATGGTGCATCAGGTGTCTTTAATTCTGCAGGAAGTACCGATGGGACGACTGTAGCTTCCACCACCAAGAGTTTATGGCAAGACATTCAAGTAGTCAATGAGGAATTGAAATTGTACGCCAGGTATCGACATCGAGTATCCTACTTTGATCACAATAAAAAGCTATTTGAAGACCCATCAGCAACAGGCAAGGACTTGCGAATTGATCCCAGATACATGGAAGATCACTTTCACTTGACACAAAAGGGATACCAGCAGTGGGGAGCGGCCATTGCCAAGAGATTGTCAAAGCTCATTGTACTGCCCTATCGCAATATGCCAGACGGATCGGCACGGCAAAAGGCAAAGACGGAAGAGGGCTACCAGGAAGACTCTTATTTTGGAGATGATAAAGACGAGGATGATCCATGATAGTTGCAGCATATAAGCAGAGAGAGAAAGGAAGTGGTTGGCTCATTTACGAATTGCGGAACGGAACAAAATGAAACGACGGAGGTCATGATCGAAGACTGCCACGAGGGATTTTGGCTCCACACGTCTCTACATTAAAGGGACGAGAGATGGGAAGCTGCCGTCACCACTATTTCTTGAGCACCAGTACAAAAGCGAAAGTGCGAGGATTGGTCGACCCTGCATAGCATGGATGGATTTGCTCTGCGTTCGTTGCAACATCAGCCCCTACTATAACGGTAGGGTGCAGATGTTAGATGAGCACAACAGGTCAGCATACTATACATGCTTCTGAGGCAGGACGACGATTTGCACTGCGACGATCATTGTGAGCTAGAAGAATTATGCACAAGTTTAGTCTGAGTTCATCCACTTTAAACTTGTGCACTTGCAGAGATTGCTAGAATATTTTAAAATAGTTACCGGTGCTCATAACGAAAAAGTTACTGTAGCACGTGTACAGTAAGGTAGGTTTGCAGCTAAGTTTTCCATCTACAGTAGAACTGGTATTGATAGCATTCATTGGAGGGTTGGTTGGAATGCATGCCGAACTTACAGCAAGCCATACCTAGTACGTGTCACATTGGCCTCATATTGGCTTCCATTCCGATCCCAGTTCTCCGCACCTAAGTCAAAAGCCGTTCGACATCAAGTTCGTAAGACTTGATTGTGCAATTTCAGACCGTTAGCCACTCAACTACGCGGAGGCAAATACCCGACGTCAACTCTTACGTACATCATATCCTTTTCATCGGTTCGTGAACGGATCTTGCCGAGTCCGCAAAGTTTGTCCTGCGTACAACCAACGAGTGAAACCGGCTCATTCTTGGTGGGAAACTAAAAATATTGAGCGCGACGGGACCGTCAGTGCGATCGACCCACGGGACTGTCAAAAAGCAGTTTTTCCCGTACACGATAGATGGTTCGCAACGACAAAATGGAGTCGCGCGGCGTCGTTCGCCACGACCACTCAACAAAATAAGTCGACTGTGCAAGTATCAACGAGTCATGGGAATCGAATGGAAGCGAGACCCTACATGAAATTCGGATCCTTTGACTTACGAGTGCTGCAGTAGCGAGAGATTAAGATAATGTAGTACTGTAGCAAGCTTACAAGCGCATGTCAAGGCTAATCATGGGATTTGGTGTGTCTAGTAGCGTTCTATAGTAGATAGTTTACAGTCGTCCTGAGCCTTCCTTACCTGCTTGGACCCATCCAGCAGGAATCGAATCGTTTCCTTGAATGCTTTTATGTACACTTGTATTGGACTCTACTATGCCTGCACGTCAGACATAATATCATCCGTAGCGATTGGGCATTGTTTGGTTACGACTGAGACTGGAGATGTGGAGGCAATCTCCATGACCATATCTTGAGAGGTTGCCTTGTTGACATAACTACCGACAGTCCCTGCGTTCTTTTCATCTTCCATTGGTGCTGCGAATCCATTGTGAAGAGCACACTCCTCACTTCTTTCGTAAAGCTCCCACAGGCGGTGGCAAGCTGCAGTCAAATCTTGATTGGTGTATAGATTGAGCGAGCGTGCTACAGCCAAAATGTGTGCAGAGAAGCGGTTTCGCTCTCCGTACATACCCTCAAGTGCATTCAAGATGCAGGCAAGAGCAACAGCACTGGGGCGCATAGTGACAAAGAAGTAATCACAAAGCGCAAGTTCGGTGAAGAAGGAAGAGATGTCATGCAGGTCGTCGATGTCTGCGCATGTCATGCTTACATCACGATCAGCAAACACATAGTCCAAGAGGAGGGTTGAAAAGGCAACCGTGGTTGGTGGGTGAAGAGACCATCCAAGAGACTTGAGGATGTGGTTTTCCATGTCTCTGACATCGGACATGTCGAATTCCCCTCGGGACAAGTCACTCAGGATTCCGAGATCACCGAGTCTGCAAGGGTGAAGCAACTTGACAGCCAGTTGTAGCGTTGTGGTGGCGGCAAGCTTGAAGGTAGAACGGTCACACTTGCAAGTGGCCAAGAAGCGATCCAACATCGACAGAGAAACTGCTACAACTTCACGATCAATTCGAAAGTAGTCAACAACTCTGAAGGACCACTCCACTATTTGTTCGCGGCAGTACTCATCAATTCTTGATTCCCCTCGTTGTGATGGAGAGAATCGATCTTTCTTCAGCAAGTCGTATACGCTGCGATGCCATGAAGTAAAAGCAAGATAGTCGACACAGTTGTATCTCCCCGAGCTCTCTTGATGAATGAGAGCGTATAAGTTATCAGCCAACATATCCTTTTGCTCCTTATGTCGCTGTTCTACTTCCATTTGAGACATTTGCTGCCGTGGTTTCCCCTGGTATGCACGCATACGCTTCGTCCTCTTTCGTGGGATCATTGTAAGTTTCAACATGATTGTAATTTGGTGTCGTGAAAGAGAATATAGGATATAGGATATAGGTTTATGCAATACAAGGTCACTGTGTACCCGTCCCCCATGCAAATTTTCCCGATTTGCAGATTGTGAGTCGAGAGTCCAAAATATGATGCGGGATCCTGCAAGCAGCCAACCGTTATCCTTACAAGAATCACCAAATTCAAAAACCGATAAAGGAATCAAAGCATTCAAATCAAACGATTGTACATACGACTAATGTACTGATGATGTACAAAGGACAGAATCCGGACATTAATTCTTGGTCGCCAAGGGATTGGACACGCTTGAAATTTTCAACACGATCCGACGGGCTCAAATATTTAGAAAGAAGACTCATGTTAATACGTCATCGCGGCCCAATTCCGTCTAAGTGCAAATAAATTGGCAGGGCTGACTTCCTGATGTTTCGTACCCAAATTCCAAGATTTTATTGGTCCTTCCAATCCCAATCGGGAAAAATAAATCGAGAATTATCAAGTTGCGAACATTTTAGTCTAAGCGAGCGAACATTTTAGTCTAAACAAAAACGACTTGTCGGTTCAGCAGTCATCGGAAGCGGAGTGGAAGTGTGTACAAGATTCAAGAGTGACCTCTCGATCCATTCGAACGTAACAGGTCGTTGACCAAGGGTCTGGCTCTTTGACAGGCTTTTATATCACATTCAGCATTCGTTTATTAGATCCCCGGGGAAAGAGAAAGGGAGAAGAGGCAGAGAAAAAGACAAACGAAAAGACAAACGACACGAGAAGAAAAGAATAAACGTATAGGAACGCAATAAAGGGGCTCTACAACACAGCACTGGCCTCATGCATAGCGTCGGAAGACGATATACTCTATGATCCTTGGGATAGTCAAGATTTAGAGCGGTCTTGAACAAGGTAACAATCAATGAGTGTTGATGTGATGACCACCGATGCGCCTGAATTCATTGAAATGATGTTCAAGCACCTCTAATAAAAGCGTTGTTCATGTCTTCAAATTGCAGAGAGCCAATCGAAAATTGGAGGCTTATCGTACTGTGAATGTTGGGGTCTCGAATACTTCAAGATGCGGAGCATCCCGTCATACATGACAGCAGCCTGATTTTGACTCGACAACAAACCAGTTGAAAGCAATGTGAATCAAGGCATGAAAGAAAACGCGACGCCGCCAGCTGGCACATCATCGCTATGTTTTCGATGAAAACTTCACATATGCGACGCAGCCAGTATTGGATTCGATCCGCAGAGTATCCCATACTTACGATGGGCTCGATATTTTTTGAACAAAGAAAGATGAGGAAGGGCCAACGAAAATTTCCTTCAGAAGCGACTCCATTGGTATAGAACGGTTGTAGATATCCAACAATCAACAGATCCTCTTGAGTAAGATTAAAGGAGAAAACATAGACAAAACCCCTTTTTGGGCTCCTAGTTGATGGCCAAGTTTCCGAGGTCTCGCTAAGACAGTCTACTACCGCATGATGGTTGAGGATATAATCAGGTTCTGGTCTCGCATATTTGATTCTGAAGACAAGAAATCAATCAACAAGGACTTGGTGTACCACTTAATTGAGACAATGATTTGATTATAAAGGTGAAGAAACTACCTAGAAGCTATAGGAGTTGAATTCGGTTTCTTTAAAAGAGGAGCATCCTGCTGTCATAAGGGACAACTAAACGATACTAGTCAATACATACTCCACATAGTAGAAAGTTGAAAAACCAGTTTCTGACGTTGGAAGTATCCATCACTATTGTAATGCTAGTCATTTTTCGTTTGCCTTCCTCCTACTACCCCTCTACTATACTGCCCCGCCCCTTCTTCAGCGCAGCTAGGAATGATCCTAGGGGAGCTGAAGCGGTTTCTCATGATCCGATGCTAAGGTTGGTCGTGAAGACAAAGTACAACAGTGCTTATTAAGGCAAAGGCATACTGGTAGGGCCGTGTGTAGCCTTGACCTACGGTACTGTCCCCATAATCGCTTTGGGACAGTACTAATTTAATAGAGAGGAGATTGATTGGTTTAGACCACTTAAAATGGGTTGATTATTAGTGATTCTCTTATTGGCTGAAAACCCACTGGATGCTGATCTACAGTACTACCAACTATGCTTACGAAAAGTCGGTACTAGTACCAGGGCAATAGCTACTCCTTGAGCTTAGTGCAGTTGCCAGTACAGTAGTACTACTACGAACCAAGTCATCATACCACAGCCACCACTGCTGTAGTTGAAGTACTGAACTTATCGTTGAAATTCTGCTACTGAATGAATTGAGATTACTCTTGCTTAGCGCCTATTCTAAAGGAGTATTGGGGACTGATGATGCATGTATCTCTTTTTTCTTAAAGTTTCATTTATTCATGTTGCCTCTTCGCAATTCAAGGCCAGCGCTGACACCGTTAACTTGTGTGTCGAATAGTCGACACAACTATATGTTTAGTTTCCGTCACAGAATTTTCTGGCATTCTGGAACATTTGAAGCCAGGGACCTGCCTTCAAGCCATCCCATGCTGATGGCGTCCATGGCCATTGCCACGTTGTGAACACGCGCTCGGGGTGGGGCATCATTGCCAAGTGTCGGCCATCATCAGAACACAATGCAGCAATGCCACCAGGACTTCCATTGGGGTTGAATGGGTATGCCTCAGTAGCTTCGTTATCATCATTGACGTATCGAACTGGGACCAAGTTGTCCTGCTCCACCATGTCATGAATGGACTTGTCAGGAAAGTAGAAACGTCCCTCGCCGTGGGCGACCCAAACACCAAGTGATGAACCTTCCATTCCCTTGAACATCACAGCAGGGCTGCCTTCAATCTTGACACTGCTGAAACGACTTTCAAACTTGCCACTATCGTTGTGCAAGAGACGTGGTTGTTTGTCTTCTGGAAGACCAGCAGTGGATGGAATCCATCCAAGCAATGCCATCAATTGGCACCCGTTGCACACACCCAAACTGAAGGTGTCCGATCGTTGACGGAATGCTTGGAATTGTTGGTACACACTGTTGTTGAACTTGATGACACCAGCCCAACCCTTTCCACTGTCCAAAACGTCAGCGAACGAGAATCCTCCGACGAAAACGATGCCACGGAATTGATCTAGCGTGGCGGCACCCGACAAGAGATCGCTGACTGTAACATCCCAGACATCGAATCCAGCAGAAATGAAAGCAGAGATCATTTCCCTGTCACCGTTGCTACCTTCTTGACGAAGGACGGCAACCTTATGCTTCTTGTCAGATTCCATTGTGGCAGCGTCTGTAGGGGCTGGCTCGTACGTGAGCTTCCATTGTGGGCTTTTCCGGCTCTTCAAGCCCTCCTCTTCCTGGGCAACACATTTTGGATTTCTCTGTCTCTTTTCAAGTTGGAAACTTGTTGCTTCCCAAACATCGCGCAGGACAGTCATCTTCTCGTCGATACAGGGAGCTGCAGATCCAACCGAGATTTTGATACAGTCGCCAGGAGAGACCTTTCCAATTTCAACAATTGGAACACTGGCAGCACTGTATTTCTCCATAACGGAAGCAACATCAGCATCAGCAATTTCAATGACCATGCCGGCTTCTTCGTTAAATAAAACTTCCATAGCACTTGCAGAAGATGGAATGTCAACACTGATAGAACAGTTTCCTGCAAAAGCCATTTCCATCAAAGTTACGACAAGTCCGCCATCCGAACGATCATGCCCAGCAAAAATAGTTCGTGAATCGATAAGATCTTGCGTAACTTCCATGGCTTTCTTTAGAACACTCATGTTCTCCACATCAGGGCTTTCGTCACCAATTTGATTAAAAACTTGTGCCAAGGACGATCCACCAAGTCTGACCTTGCCTCCACCAAGGTCGATGAAGAGAAGCTTGGAGCCAGAGGCCGGGCACTTGAGGTCAGGAGTCACGGTCTTGGTGATGTCAGGACATGTCACGTAGCATGTCATTGTCAACTCTCCAGGCGCCTTTGTCACCTCTTCTCCACAGCGAGCGGCCATGGAAAGAGAGTCTTTTCCACCATCAATACCAACACCAAGTTCTAGGAGGCAGTCACGAAGGGCGACACAGGCATCCCACATCTTGGCTCCTTCTCCTGGAAGCTTTGCTGCATACATCCAGTTCCCGCTTGCCTTGATGTCCTCAATCTTTGACATCTTGGCCCAGACAATGTTTGTCATAGATTCGGCGACAGTCATACGTGCCATAGCTGCAGAATTGATCAATCCTTTGATTGGCTGCTCACCGCAAGCAACAGCAGTACCGGTGATTCCAAAATGAGTGTGAGCTGCCACAGCGACATTAGAAAGCGGGAGTTGGAGTGGACCAACGCATTGTTGCTGGGCGCATAGTCCAGTAACCGATCTGTCAACCTTGTGCACCAAAAATCGTTTCGATCCGACTGAAAGCAGACGCAACACCCGATCAACTGCCGCTTTCACAGTAACTCCATCCGGAATATTCAAAGGCTCCAGGTTCGCCTTGGTACGGTTGTCGACAAAAGTCTTTTGTGGCATCTTTCCAAGCACCAATTCGAGTGGTAGATCGACCGGTGTTGAGCCATCCTTTGAGTCATGAACAACGACCTTACCATCATCACTAACAGTTCCCATGAAAGAAATTGGGCAGTTCTCTCTCTTCGCCAAACTTATGAACAATTCCTTGTCTTCGGCCTTGATCAAGAGTCCGTTGTTCTCTTGGAATTCTGCGCCCCACATTTCGAGAACAGAAAGAGTATCGTCCCCAACATTCACCTTTGGAAGTAGTTAGATTTAGTGTAACGTGACTCCATTTCCAATAATGTTGTCTCCACTTACATTTCGGATGTCATAAACTGCGCCAACGGGCTCGACGAGCTCCTTCAGAACGTTGCCATTGCCTCCTGCACCTTGATCATGGACAGACACGATAGGGTTCTTGTCACCAAGATCGCAACAAGCTCTCATCAAACGATTCATTCGATTCTCCATTTCAGCGTCTCCTCTTTGGACAGCATCGAAATCAAGATCAGCGTTTTCAGAGCTCTGCACGCGTGAAGAAGCGGCACCACCACCAATTCCGATTCTGTAGGCAGGACCTCCAATTTTCAATACAAGCATTCCCTTCTCAGGTGCGCCCTTTTCACTGAATCGTCCGTCCATTTGACCAACACCGGCAGAGAACATAATTGGCTTCACCCATTCAAATCTCTCTCCGTTTGGAAGTCGCTGACCAAACGATCGTGTGAAACCATGAATAACAGGTTCACCGAATTTGTTTCCGTAATCGGATGCACCATCGCTAGCCTTGAGCTCAATATCAAGTGGCAACGCAAGGTTGCCCGGATAAACAAAACTCTTGTCCTCCCATGGAAGTTCATAACCGGGAATATTCAGGTTTCCAACACAATATGCAGAAATTCCAGCGACAGGATATGCCCCCCTTCCTGTAGCTGTGACATCGCGAAGACGTCCACCAGTTCCTGTTTCAGCACCTGGAAATGGAGCCACACCAGAAGGAAAGTTGTGTGTCTCAGCAGTTAAGATGGGATGCAACTCTTGCTTGCCAACCTTGACAGGCCCAGGTCCAATGACTGAACTTGGACGAAGAGCATCGCATTCATAACCCTTGATCGACGAGGAGTTATCGTGGAAAGCGATCACTGAGTTGTTTGGCACACCCTTTGGAAGCGTCGCTTTGACCATTTGGAAAAGGGTTTCTTCTTTTTCTTCTCCATCGATGACCATTTTTCCTCCGAAGAACCAGTGACGAGAGTGCTCTGAGTTAGATTGACCCATATCAAAACATTCAACATCGGTAGGGTCCCTTCCAAGTTTTTCCTACGCTCGGTCAAAAAACGATTGGTATTGGCGTCGGTACCGTAACCCACAACGCTTCAAAACTTACCTTGAAAAGCTTGGTGTAATAGTCCAAATCGAAATCGTCAAATCCAAGCCCCTTTTCTTCGTTGATTTTCTCCAATGCCGGTCGCCCTTGTTCCATGATTGGAATAATTGTGACAGGAGATGCTGTGGCACCGTTGTCAAAACTCGTCAAACGTGTAGTGTACTCTTCTTCTGTCATCCTATCGTGAAGCATGCTCTTCAAAACCTTTACTGCTTCGTCGCTCAAGGCTGATGTAAGCACAAATCGGTATCTTCTAGACAATTCAAGACGACCAACGGGCAAATCACAGGACTTGCAAATACTAACTGCATTTGACGAAAATGCCGAGGTAAACGTCATCCGGGGTCCGAACTCGACCTGCCAAAATGAGCCATCGACTTTCTCAACATCAAAAGCACTGCTCTCTTCCTTCAGATTGCCTTTCTCGAAAGTTTCAGCCAAGAGCCATTCCAATCTCTCCTTCTGGATTTCCGACAGATCAGAAGCGATTTGAACGTTGAAACAGCTTTCGGTTTCGACTGTTGAGATCTTGTCTGCATCACTAGTCAGACCTATAGCCTTTAGCTGCTCCTTTGTGGAAGGAAGCAAAGAGTGAGAAGGCTCAGTCTTCCTGTAGTAATGATGGATCTTTCCACTCATTCTTCTGTTTCAGAATTTGTGATGGCTTGAATGACCATTTTTTGGATGGCGGAACCAAAATCCTGGCCGTCCCTCGCCCGTTAGTCGATGTGGTCCATTCCTGAAGATGATTTCGAGATGACAGAAGAGACAAAATTGGGTACTGGAACGCTTCTTTGACTCTAGGTTTAAAGTATCAACTTATAGAATGAGGCGCTTGATATCAGAAGCTATGGCCTTTCCAAGAGAAGCATTTGTGCACTTTACATCGACTTTTACAGTTCCAGGCTTCACTTTAACCAAGAGTCGAACTGGAGTTCCATCGGGAGATTTGCCAGCAAATGTCCTATTCAACGGACCACTTGATTCAGGTTCAACCTCGCCCATAGAGAGAAATGAACGAAGGATCGGTACTACCTGTTCCGCTGGAGTACTCGTACTTAAGTCGACTTTGCCTGTGTTCGATGACCATTGAGCTGAAGAAAGCTCACTTGCCACATCCTCAAGACGAAGGCCCAAAGTAGGCGTAAAGAATGCTGCAGCTGGACAAGTAACTTTCACCGGAACCGCGCAGTTTCCAGAGACCAAAGTTCCTTTGATCTCTTTTTCACTGAACGAAAGCTTGAAACTGCTCGTGGCATCTACAGAGGATAAAGGCGAAATGTTTCCAAAAGAAATGGCATTTTGCCCGTTCAATTGCATCATCAACCCACTGAGAATCGATGATTGCATGTGATTGTCCACCCGAAAAGCAAGCGATACACCTCCACTATCTCGATGCAACCGGTATCGCAATTGAATCTGTGTCCAATCAATGATTGGTGTGCCCCGAGCACTTGAGCTCTTGATGTTCGCCCTGAGCCAAGGCTGTTCCACACTATGCGACGACAAGGGGGCTACGCCTAGGGGTGCAAGAGCGTTTGGAGTACCTGCACTTGGCGAAGGCAAAGACGCGCCGACAGCTGCGTCTGAACTAGTGAATCCGAGCAAATCGTCAAATGCGTTGCTGATCGCGTTGCTTTGAGGTTGCATGGCCATCATGGACGGCTGAGAGTCACTCGCACCAAAGCCACTATCTTGTAGCCCAGTCGAATAACTGTTGCCACCATTGTCTGATGCACCTAGGTCAAGGAGATCTCCAACACCACCAGAAGAGCTAACCATAGACGCCATAGACGCGTTTTCTTTCGCTTTTTTCTTGCTCTTCTTAGACTCCTTTTTCTTTTTCTTCTTTGATTTCTTGGGGCTTCCCTCATCCATCAATTGTGGAGAATCTGAAAATGGCTGGTTACTTGGGGCCATTTCAGGAACGACGCGGTGTTTTCTTGCTGGCATCACTTCATCTTCGCGAAGTGGCTTTGTCAAGTCAACCTTTGCTAGACTGTCAAACTCGTTTCCGATGGTGCGCTGTCCACCAGTGCCACTCGACCGCATTGCTCCTCTCATAAATTCGTTGTCATCATCTTCATCACTTCCGTACACAGTAAACGAATTTGAATAAGAGGCGTGCAGTGAGCTTTGGGTTTGATTCTTTGAATGTTTCTTTTTCTTCCTGTGCTTTGGTTTAATCTTCTTCTCTCCAGCGATCTCATCATCACTATCTGCATCTCCAAGCTGAATAGTGCCAAAGCGATTTGGCAGATTCGGAGCTTCCTCAGCATCTAGCATTGCGGGACTTGAGTTGAGATAAAAGGGATGATTGGAGGACGAAGGTGGCATCCGCGCGGTGTTGTTTCCAAAGGCATTTTGAGAATTTTGTTCCCCGTCATATGTCACATTGTTATCAGAGAACAAAGAACCATCCAGTGGCGACTGAGCGGTGGTATTGAGTGGCTTGTAATCATTTACTGCAGAAGAAGTGTGATGAACGCTGTGTTGTTGTGTGAAAGAAACTGCCTCCATGCTACTCTTCCAATTCTTTCTCTGTGCTTTGTCCTCTTCCATTAAGGTGGCAAAAATGGAATAGTCAACCGGTGCGTTAATGTCAACACTCACACCCACCGGAGCAGCATGTTTCTTTATCTGGACTTTTGCACTAGTAGGCTTCATGGGTGATTGCTTGAGCA